ACTTCGTAGAGTAAATAAAAACTGTAAAAGTATAAAACCCTCTCCCACTACACCAAAAATGTGGGCTCTGACCCTCTAAGTCCTTACAGTACTTAGTATTACATAATCTATTAATTTAGTAGGATTTGGTTTTTAGCTATAAAATGGACAAAATAACAGAGAAGCCTGAGAAGATGAAATTACATTTACATGGGATTTGATTTAATAATGTAAAACATTTGTCAGATGTCAGACTGAAGATTAATTAGTTCTGAAAGGTTTTGCAGAACAATCAGATATAGTGTACAATATAAAATTCTGTCATGCCCAATTCACAAACTTTTTTTCAAAATTGGTGATGTTGGTGCGATTGCCCCTGTTTGTAGGGGTTGTAGTGTGGTGGTTGATTTATGCAGCAGCAGCTAATTGGTTAGGGGTTGTTGGTAGTGAACTTGTGATTGCAGGGCTGAAAATAAACTTTAGAACATAGGTAGAAAAATTTGGAACATAGGAAAAAATTATAACATAGGTTGAAATAATTTAGAACATGGGCTGAAAATAAACTCAATCAAACCTTATCATGTTTCTGTTTCATTTGTCTTTTAAATTTCTAGTTTACTCATTCTATTTTGGGTTTTTCACTCTCCAGCATGTTCTAAACTCTTTTTTAGCATGTTCTAAACTATTTTTCAGCATATTTTAAATTATTCCTATGTTCAAAAATATAATAATAATGTTGGAATGTTACTAATGTTTTTTATTTCTTAAAATTGCAGCAAAATGCAAGGCCAAAATGAAGCAAAATCAGAAGGAGGAGTTACTAATATACAAGAAGAAGAAATTACTTATGTAAGAAAAAGGTAACTAAACTATGTTCTAAACTTTACCTATTATGTTTTAAATTTTGTTCTAAAGTTTTCCAATATGTTCTAAAGTTTTCCCTTAAGTTCTAAAGATTTGTATTATGTTCTAAAGTTTTCCATTATGTTCTAAAGTTTTCCATTTTGTTTTAAAATTTTCTCTTATGTTCTGAAGATTTGTATTATGTTCTAATATGTATCCATTATAGTTTATGTTCATCTTATCCCTTTATTTTTGCACTCTATTTAATGTTAGTTGTATTCTAATTATTTTTGATTGTTTTTAAAGGAAAGTTGAAAACGTTGAAGCGGAAGTAATCGATAGATCGGAATTAAAGAAGCATATTGAAAGTAAAAGTGTTGCTATAAGACATAGAAAACTTCCAACAAGGCTTTAACCACCTCGAAAATTGCAAAAAAAGGAAGGAAGAGAAAAAGATCAAGAAGAAGGAAAAGATCAAAAAGAAGAAGAGGGTAATAATGTTGAGGATGATGACGAGAATAATGATAGTGAAGATGATGGTGAGGATGATAATAAGGGTGATGTAAAGATGAAAGAGAAAGATGAAAAAGAGGAGATGGAAGATGATAGTGAGGAGGAACAAAAAATCAATAAAAAAAATCAAACTCAGGTAATAATACTCTTTAATCTTTACAATCTTTATTTTTATGTTCTAAAGTGCACGCTTATGTTCTAATTTTGCTTATCTATGTTCTAATTATGTTTATCTATTCATGGTGAGGATGTGAAGAAGAAGAAAAGAAAGATTGAAAAAGAAGAAGATGGTGAGGATGTCCAAGTAGTAGAAGCTAATGAGCAAGATAAACTAGTTAAGAGGCAACCTTATCAAAGAGTACCTCCTACTCAATTCATGAAGGATGTGTTGATAAATCTTTCGGAAAAACAAAAGCAAGCTATTCGGAACATTGGTTTTGGAGGCTTTTTGGAATTGGATTTACCAATCCATATTAATTCTATGTAAGTAGTAGAATGTTATGTTCTAAAATCATATTCTAAAATCATAAGTATTATCAATGTTATGTTCAAAATTATGATTTGTCATGTTTGAATTGCTATACACTAATGTTCTAAATTATAAGTTTATGTTCTAAATTAGTTATGCTCTAAATTTTGTGCATATGTTCTAAATAATATGATTATGTTCGAAATTAGCTATGTTCTAAATTATGTGCATATGTTCTAAATTGTATGATTATGTTCTAAATTATGTGCATATGTTCTAAATAATATGATTATGTTGTAAATTACTTATGTTTTAAAGTTACTTCTTGTATTTTAAAATTATGATCTCTCATGTTTGAATTGCTATACACTAATGTTCTAAATTAATTTTTTGTTATGTTCTAATGTATGTTTATTATGTTCTAAAATAGACTTTTTTTGATTTTTAGGATTTTTTCTATTTTAGGTATTTTATTTTGTTTTTTCGATTTTTTTCGATACTCTTTCGATTTTTAGGATTTTATCGATTTTAGGTAATTTATTTTTGTTCTTTCGTTTATTTCAACTGTCATCGATTTTAATTTTCGAATTTAGATTCAAGGTTTTAGCGATTTTGTACCGCAATTTTTTTTTATTTGGCCTATGTTCTAAATTAGTTCTATGTTATAAATTATCTATACTGTGTAGTTAATTGATTAGATGTAATTTGCAGCATTAGTATTAGTTTAATTGATTAGCATTATTATACTTCATGTTCGATTATGTTCATGATCATGTTCTAAATTTAAGTGTCGCATGTTCTAAATTTAGGTGTTGTATATTCTAAAGATGTTCTGGGCTGGGTGTGGTATGCAGAGGAAGTTCAGGAGAGATCCTTTGGTGTGCTGCGTTTCAGAGCTTAGAAAAATAGGAATCAAGGGTGGGGGAAGCCAAGACTGTTTTCTAGGGGCTGCATATGGCGTAAGGGCATAAGTGAGGCAAACCCTGCCACTGTAATTGGTGTTCCAATACAGTTTACAAATTTGATGTATGCAATGTCATATGAGTGGTCTATACGATCTTTTGTAATCTTGGCACATCGTAACTCCTAAGAGATCACTTGAGGGTTGAGAATCCTTTTCTCCTAGATATTTTGGATATTTTCCTTGTGAGTCAAAGCTCACTTGCTTTTGTTTGCTGCTCTCTGTCGCAAGGCTGTTTGTGCTGTTCTGTGAAGCTTTGTTTTGGCTGCTTGTTTTTCAGCTTGGATGTTGCTGTGGGCTGCTGTTGTGCTTGGCTGTTCTTTGGTCCTGGGCTGGTGTTCCTTGGTGATGCTGGGTTCCTCTCTTACATCCTGTCTTTGCTTATTGTGTAGCTCTGTTTGTTGCTATGGTGTTTTATTGTCTTGTTGTTTGCCTTTGTTTGTTTTGGTTTTGGTTGTTTGCTAGCTTGTTGCTAGCTTAGTTTTGTTGTATTGTTGTTGGTGGATGTTTGGCCTCTTGGCTGTTGTAGTTTGGTGTGGGCGTGTTTTGCCCTTTCTTTGGTAATAAAATTCTTATTTACCAAAAAAAATTTAGAACACAGGGAAAAAAAAAAACTTATTTAGAACATAGGAAAAAAAACTTATTTAGAACATAGGAAAAAAAACTTATTTAGAACATAGGAAAAAAAAACTTTAGAACATAAGTAGACTAAATTTAGAACATAGGGAAAAAAAATTTAGAACATAGGTAAGAGAATATTTAGAACATAGGAAAAAAAACTGTGGAACATAGGTAGAAAAAATTTAGAACATAGGAAAAAATTAGAACATAGGTTGAAAAAATTTAGAACATAGGTTGAAAAAATTTATAACATAAGTATACTAAATTCAGAACATAGGAAAAAAAATTAGAACATAGATAAAAGAATATTTAGAACATAAAAAATAAAAAACTTTATGACATAGGTAGTAAAAATTTAGAACATAGAGAAAAAACAATTTAAAACATAAGTAGACTGAATTTAGAACATAGGCAAAAGAATTTAGAACATAAATAAAAAAAAGAATATTTAGAATATAGGGAAAAAAAACTTTAGAACATAGGTAGAAAAAATTTAGAACATAGGCTGAAAAAATCTAAAACATAGAGAAAAAAATACTTTAGAACATAAGTAGGCTAAATTTAGAACATAGGAAAAAATAATTTAGAACATAGGTAAAAGAATATTTAGAACATAAAAAATAAAAAAAAAAACTTTAGAACATAGGTAGTAAAAATTTAGAACATAGGAAAAAAAAAATTTAGAACATAAGTAGACTGAATTTAGAACATAGGCAAAAAAAATTAGAATAGAGGTAAAAGAATATTTAGAACATAGGTAGAAAAAATTTAGAACATAAGAGAAAATTAGAAAGGTTGAAAATATTTAGAACATAATAAGTAGACTAAATTTAGAATATAGGATAAAGAATATTCAAAACATAAAATATATATATATATATATATATATATATATATATATATTTAGAACATAGGTAGTAAACATTTAGAACATAGGGGAAAAAAAAACTTTAGAACATAAGTAGACTGAATTTAGAATATAGGCAAAAGAATTTAGAACATGAGTAAAAAGAATATTTTGAACATAGGAAAAAAACAATAGAACATAGGTAGAAAAATAGAACATAAGTAGACTAAATTAACTTTGAACTAAGTAGACTAAATTTAGAACATAGGCAAAAAAATAGAACATAAGTAGACTAAATTTAGAATATAGGAGATGGCAAAATTATTTAGAACATAGGTAGAAAAAAATATTTAGAACATTTTTTAGAAAATTGAAATTAAAGCTTAGAACATAGGGTTGAATTACAATACATTATTTAATCGTTGGGCATGCTAAAACCTATTAGCTCAAGTGGTAGAGCACTATGCAAATGCATAGAGATGTAGGTTCGATTCCTACATAGGTTATCTCTAAAAATAACCATAAAAAATATAAAAAAATTAAATAGGACTAAGTTATACGAACAAAAAATGCCTATGGAAACTATGTTACAACAAAACTCTGAAACATACAGTTGTCTCCACATTACACAAATCAACCTACGTGGGATTCGAACCCACATTTTTTGTGCATTTGCACAATGCTCTACCTGTTGAGCTAGTAGGCTAATTTATATAAAATATTAAAATAAATATGAATTATGAGTTCACCTAATGTATCAAATTATCTTTCAAAAAAAATGTATCAAATTAAATTAAAAATAATATCAGCAATTGTTGGACAATAAGAGACCGGTCATGTTCAAGTTTACATCATGTGACTTCAATTTCTGCCAGTGAAAGACATTGACAAGGTTTAGATTGAAAATTTAGACAATCATAAGATTCATGACAGTAATAACATGTCTAAATATTTAGCTTTGTATATGTCATTAACTCATTATCACTTTATCATGTGCATCTTGATGTGTTCTTCCTCTTCCCTTTAGGTGGTTGAATACATCCCACGCATAAGTAAACCCAGGAGGGTGCCGTGGATTCTTTGTGATAGCTGCGAGCCTGCAACAGGTGAAGTGCCTGGATCATTAATGTTATCTCCCTGAATTGCTTAAGCAGCTAGAGCATGAAGCAACAAGATTCCTGTTCCAGTGTCATTCTACTACCCACTAATGATTTTTCTTTAGTTCTAATACTAAAAAACATTGCACAAAACAGGTCATTTTTTATCTATAGGGGAGAAAAAAAGAAAAGAAATTCTCTCACACAAAAACATCTGACAATAAGAAAATAAACAAACAAGATAGAACATCAAGGAAGCAGAAGCAAGCAGGAAATGACGTGCAACACAAATGCAGATATTTTACATACTACTCAAAATGATGAGCAAACTCGTCACCCAATAACTTGCTAGGATTTTTTTCAAAAAACATTTTTTTTTACCAGCAAAGGTTCAAAACCAAGATGAACTTTCAAAAATTAACCTGTTAACACAAAAAGAAAAGAAACTAAGAGCAATAAGAGTTCATACCCTTGCTCAGATGTCGAAGGTTTCCTTGCTCACATCCTTGTATCAACTATTAATAATTAATACCAACTTTCCCAATTAAATTACCATAACAGTCAACTAAGCAACGATCTATTAATAAAACTCAAGCATATGTAACATTGATCAAGAAATCAGAGGTTCACATAAAAGAGACAACATGTATGCGAAACACCGAATACATTGAATTCCAAACTTTATAGTAAGAAAATTGGTATAAACATGTATGCGAAACACTGAAATCACCGAATACACTGAAATTAAAGCATTAAAAATAACTAAATTTACCCGAATGAATGAGTCCTTTTGGAACTTGAATCTCTTTTAGCCTGGCATCTTAATACTCCTGGTGGGTACAGACGAAGCATCTCTTGGATAATTGTTGTCAACTGCCAAAAGAAAGTACAGGGTTACATAAAGGAGTATTGTAGAGCATAAAAAATACCTGCAATGCTCACAAAAATTTGTATGGTTTGCCTAAAACTTTAAATATCATTCAATAATTAGGACTTCTTTATCATAGCCAATGTTTCTAATGCTTACTCCATATTCGATATTAAAATAGTGAATAGTCTAAAGGACGATTCCATTTTAAGATCCAAGCACCATAATATTCACAATTCAATATGTCAAAACAGACATACTATAACACTAACAGTGTTAACTAGTAATACCATATAGCAAGGAGTAGCATCATGAAGCTTGCTACACATCTCTAACTCATTTATCAAACAAGTACCACAATTCATTTAAATGGAGTATAAAACATGTTCATGTTACACATAGAGAAGGTGTTTGGAAGCAGCTACGATCTTTGACTGGTAAAGTACATAAACAATTGGTAAAGGCACACATCATTATTCAAATGAAATCACAAAAATCAAACAAAAACAGTAAAAATTGAACATATATCGCAGCAAAAATTAAGAAATTAACGCATCAAAATCGCAGCATACACAAATCGCAAAGAGCTGGAAAAGTTTGAGAAAAAATCGCAGCAAATAAAACAGCATCAAAATCGCAAAAGAAAACCGAACAAAAAAAATCAAAATAAGAACAAAAAATTCGAACAATCAAACAGTCGAACAGATAAATAATCGAGCAAAATAAATATACATCGAATAGAAAATCGCCAAAAACAAAATCGAATAGAAAATTTGCAAAAAATCGTAAAAATATTGACGAAAACATGAATTAATCAGTAAAAATCGAACATAAATCGCAGCAAAAATTGAAAACTAAACGCATCAAAATCGCAGCATACGAATCGCAAAAATCAGGGAAAGATTTGAGAAAAAATCGCATAAAAACGCAAAAAAATCACATCAAAATTGCAGCAAAAAATCGCATCAAAATCGCATAAAAGTCGTAGCAAAATCGCAGCAAAATATTCGCTAAACAATATTGAGAACAATTGCATAGAGAATGCTTAAAATAATCGCATGAAATTAATCGCATCAAAATCGCATGAAAAATCATTAAATTTAAAACAAATCTGATTATAAAATTAATAAACTTACAATAATTAATCCAAAATCTGTGAAAATATCGTGATGAATTTGATGAACTTTCGCCAACCTGTTGAACTGAGGAGAGGGAGAAAGCTGAGAATTTTACAGAGAGAAAGCTGAGAGTTGAGAAACATAAAATAACGAGATGAAGGAAGAGGAAAAGGAATTTGAATAAACTCCTTCAAATTACAAAAATGCCATTAGTAGAGCATCATTTTGGACAGTTAGATCAAAACTAATAAACAACTAAGATTGGTTCTTATATAAGATTAGGTTCTTATATAGAGGAGGGTTCTTATATGAGCCTTCCTCTATATATATATATATATATATATATATGCAAGTTCCAAGATTGATTTCTATTGAAACTAACAATTAACTATAGTGGCTCCACGCTCCAATATAAAAAAATATTACAAGGATTTGATTATCATGATGAAGCTTCATGTATATACACATTTTAGATTTGCATGACCAACATAATCACATACACCGTCGTTAGGAACTATCCTTTTACATCATTTATTTTCTTTAATTATTAAATCATGAGTAATATAACAATCAATGTGGTCATGTATGTATACCTATAAGTCTATAACATCATACATTCGATATTTCACATTACTATAAATATTGTAAGACCACACGTTGAACATCATTTTAAAGAACAACAACCTCTCCAACTAATTAGTTAGGAGAGTGTACGGAAACTACCTAAAACTAAAGAGGTTAGCTAATAGTATGATTAAGCATCTAATTATGGAGTGATTAGCTAGGCCAAATAACATAGCTCGAAAGCCAGACGATTATGAACCTAATTGAATATATATATTATATTATAAAGTTTATTAAAAGGAGTATATATAATAATAGTTGTAGTAGCAGACATTGAGATACAGAGGTTCATCTGGTAAGTAGAGACAGCAAAACTATGTATTATTGATGAATGCACGAAGATTCAGAGCATATTGTCTTAGTGTATTGTGGATTTTGTTTTTTGTTTGGAAACGTACACAGTGGGATCCCAACATCCTTAGTTGTCTTGTATTTTTTATAATTAATATGGTCAGACATCACTCATATATACATGAATGGTTTTGGCTGTTTTCTTCAATTATTATAATGCATGGTTCAACGTAACGTTCGATGTACATATTTGTGATCAAGGGCAACTCGGCTTGACTCGACTTTCCAATATGTTATGATGGATGTGTGCAATAGAACGATTTGGGAACTCACCCTCTAATATAAAATAAAATAATTAGAAAAACAAGAAATAAAAGAGACAAGTGCCTCTTCTTAAAAAAAAAAAAAATTATTTAAGTTCCTACAAAATAAGACAATAATTCTCTTGATGATTTTCCTCTCTCCTTATACTACTCATTGAGTTTCGCTTAGCTTGGTCTATACTACATATTCTTCGTACGGAGTTACAACCAAGCTTAGCTTCTTCAATATTATCACACGCACGAACCAATTTATGAGCTTGGACTCTTCTCTATAATGGACCTACAATATGAGAAATCAATCCAACTAACTATTCAGGACTGATTCATTTTTCTCTTGTGATGATATTTTCTTGTATGTACCAAAAATCTGTCATAATATATTGTCTCTTTATGAGCAGTAAATATTTTTGGAATAGTAGATAAAACATATACATTCAAGTGGGGCAAAAGAACCATTTTCCATTGTATAAATATCATATATATATGTCCCACATCAACCATAAAAATTGGCTAATAAGTTCCAAGCATTGATGCTTGCTTATATGAGAGTAACAACACACACCTAAACTGAACACAATGAAAAAAAAAAGGCTCACTAACATTTTATATTATACTTGTATATATACACTCATCTCGGCAAATTGGAGTTAATATATGTACACAAGAATGTATAATTGAGATTGCCCATCATAGATACAGGTACACCTGAATGTATGATGCTTTTGTATTTAATTTGTACATGTAACACGACTTATATATACTCGTAGCATTTAATGACGCAACACTAGGTATTTATTCCTAGGATTTGGGAATATTTAAACTTGCAGCAGCAGACATCATCTCACCCACTCCACCAGCAGTAATAGCATTGGCTGGATCATTCTTGGCCTCAGCTTCTAATATTTCTTTGGCATCTTCATGCGTTACAGGCTTATCATGTGACAATTTATCACTAGCATCCTACAATTTTGTATTCAAATAATTATAGTATATAAATTAATTAATTGAATTAAATTGTATGATAGCTAGTTAACTTTAAATTAAATGTATAAATTCACCAAAAAAAAAGAAACAAGATTATTATTTTCATTCATACATAAAAGTGTGGTACGTACCCTAAGGATGTCATCCATAGTAGTCCTAAATTCATAGCCCAACGTTTTAGCATTCCAAGCGGCTGCATTGTAAGCCTCCTCAGCGAGGCCTCCGTGTGGCATGGTGTCGACGCCAAGAGCTCTCTTCTCGGCAGCCTCTATAGCAGCTGCATCGGCCTTATCGACTGGGTGGTCACCAGCTGAAAGTGCCACAGCCTCCAAGGCCTCACCAATTGTGACTGACTCCCTCTCTTGGGCTTGTTCTGCTGGAGAAGTTGCACTTGGACCGGTAAAGTTTGGTTCAACATATTGCCCTACTACCTGTTTATGCAATTGATCAAGCATTTCAACACTATACTATCAATTAATTGTTTTGGCAAAATTTCCAAAGATAAATTAGCATAACATAGAATGAAATCTCAAGATAAAGTTATTTTTTGGTTCCTTATGAAAAAAGGTACTATAATTGGTAGCAATATCTTGTTAAAAACATATGGAGTAATTTGGACCTCTAGCCCATAATATACTAATAGTTGGCCCAATTCATTTAGAATATAGATCAAATTTAAAAATTTGTCTCAACATCTAATTAAAAAATACCACCTCTGTTAATTTTTATGTGCAACTTTAGGGTATTATTTGTGAGATATAAAATATTCGAAAGTTACATTAAAATTAACGGAGGTAATATTACGTATTGACAAGTTAAGGAAGAGAACCTCGTCACTAACGGATTCCGTGATGATTCGAATTCCATTCATATCGGACTCTGTAACCTGAACCCCTTCATGGTTCGGATTTGAATCCGGGTCACAATAACCCGATTGCACATTAATAGAGGCGGCGGATTGCATAACGGATGCTGGGCCAAAAAGTGGGCTTTGGCCCATAACGTTACGCTCACCGGCCTCCATGGCAGCGGCATCTTCCGGTAAGATGGGCTTATTCGCAACTTGGCCCGATACAATGAACACGTCGCCGTATTTGATGGGCTCCTCATATGGACCCGTTACTTCGGGTGGGTGTTGCTCTTCGGTCATCATATAAAGTATAAACACAAACTACTCCCTTAATGTGTAGGACCTTGCCATAAAATTGTATGCAAAAACAAAAGAAAGAGATCGATCTTATTAAGGGGTGATCAATTTATATCATACATTAGAAATAAATTTATGCAAGTGCTCTAAAATTTTGATAACTTAGCTTTATTTACGCTTCTAATAAATTGCCGTGAAAAGTGCAAGCAAATGTTTTCTTTTCTATTCTTCAAACACAAAAATGTTTTCTTTTCTTTCTTATAAAAATACAATAATATTTTCTTTTCTAAAATGATTCATTTTTAGAAATATACAATAACTGTAACAACTTTAAGATGTGTATTGTACGTACATTGATTTTGTTCATCCATGTTTTATACGAAGTAGTATTCCTTCGTTTTTACAATATTTTATTCAAATCCCTCAACTAGTGGACCAAATATACATTATATTTTTACAGTCTCTTCTCCGATTCTATCAACTATGTACCCCACTATTCTACAACCTCTATATTTTATTACTTTCTCTAATTTCTCATAAAACTCAGCGCACGGAGAATTAGAGCAAATATTTAAAAACGAAAGGGGTACATGATTATGAGATTGTCAAACTTTAAATATATATTAACGTCTTGAACTATCAAATGATGTGTTACAACTTACAATTAAACAACACAAAATACCGGTACAAAACTCCAAAATCTACTCGAAAGGAGATATGACTTTATTTATCAAGCTAATAATTAAAACCATTATTCCTAAAGAAAAAGACTAGAAATTGGAAGAAGCTAGCATGGTATTCAAAAGGTACTAGTAGAATAAGGAAACACCTCGTCTTCAACACCTTGGTTTACAACACTTGCCCAACTTCTACTGTCTGTTTTTCTCTCCCCTCCATTTTTATTATTAGCAGCTTCCAATTCATCTTGCCTTAAACTTGCACCAGTTTTCTGAGCAGAAGATAATGATGCCTCAACTTTTAAATTCATGGGCTTTTTCGCTTCATCTCCCACTTCTTGGATTGGGCCTCTTTGCTGTTGATTCCCTTTTGATGCCATTCACAACAATTTTATTAATTTTATGGATTTGCCTCTTTTATTTACTCATGCTTCAGCCTTTTTATATGTGGGTTTTGTATGTACTTGGCTCATAAATTTATGACATTTGTCCACACTTTTTTTTTAATCATTATTTTCTTCGTATGTTTTTTGGTATAAGGAGAAATAGGGAGCTATTGTATAATTTGGACACCTAGTCAAGAATGTCGGGCAAGTGTCAATAAAATGAATATTGATTCTAATTCGGATCGGTGCTATATCCTACTCTCTCTATATTATAATCAGTATTGTACTTTAACCGATATATGATTTTAGGCAATTTAATTTAGTAGAATAAAATAATTGATAAGTGAAGTAATTGAAATATTAAAAAATTGTAAAAGAAAGACAATGAGTTTAATAATTTATTAAAAAGTAATAAATATGAGAGAAAAGAAATTAAAAAAAAAAAAGCAGTAGTGAATTATAGTAGGGATTATGAAAAAGAAAGATATAATATTAAAACTAGTGAGTAGCCCGGGCGATGCCAAGCGTTGCTACTTTTGTTATCGAGCAATTGAGATTTTTTAAAAGGATTTTGAAACATAAAACCAACAATATTGAATGTGTTTTTTTTCTTCTAATAATTGAATCAAGGTTTACAATTATATACATTTCTTTTTCATATTTATAACATGTTTGATAATGAGCTAACACGATTAGATAGCCAACTTTTTCATAAGTGGTTGAGTGTTCGAATCACTTTAACCTTATATATTTATATGAAACTAATATAATTTCTTGGGTGAAATGATGTTGCATCATGAAATGTTTGTAAATGACGTGGCGTAATTTAAAAGGATTTACGTGCCACATGACCGTTTTTATAAACGCCTATTAATAGATTAGTATAGAAGTATCTTTTTGCCAAAAGAAAAGTGTGACACTTATCAAAACACCGTTGTATTTGATAAGTGTAACACTTATTAAAACACAGAGGGGGTAATTGTTTTGATCGTACAAAATAAATACTACGTACGTAAGTAAAGATGCATTCGTGTTTGTGATTCTCTTACCATCCCATTTGCCTTTAAACAGTCAATTTACCTGTTTACAACATGCACCGATTTCATAAACTCAATCTTACCACGGACATTTATGACAACATATAATGATCATATATGGTTCCAAATGACATTATATGCCCCTGGGATGTATCTCCTCATATCTCAAAAATTTTCGACACCGAATCCCGAAACCTCCAAAACTGCTCAAAAAGCATGAATAATAGCCTTCAATTTTGGAAATTTTTTACCTTTTCTGGCCACAAAATAAAAATTATTGAGATGTTTACTATGGATACTAATACCCTTTAGGAGTCCAATTGGGTGGGTGGAACATCCCATTTTCCTTTAAACGGTCAATTTACCCGTTCACAACTTTCACCTGTTTCATAAAATCAAGCTTACCACAGACATTTATGACAACGTATAATGATCATATATGGTTCCAAGCGACATTATATGATTCTGGGATATATCTCCTAATATCTCAATAACTTTTGACATCAGATCCCGAAACCTCCAAAATTGCTTAAAAAGCATGAATAATAGCCTTCAATTTTAAAAAAAATTTACCTTTTTTTGCCCGAAAATAAAAATTGTCGAGATGTTTACCCAGACCCTTACACCCTTTAGGAGTCCAATTGAGTGGGGGAAACCATCCCAATTGCCTTTAAACGGTCAATTTACCCGTTTACAACTTGCACGAATTTCATAAACTCAAGCCTACTACGGACATTTATGACAACATATAATGATCATATATGGTCTCAATTGCCATTATATAACCCTAGGCTGTATGCCCTAATATCTCAAAACTTTTCGACACCTCCAAAATTATATTGCTCAAAAAGCATGGATAATAACCTACAATTTTTTTTTAATTTTTTACCTTTTCAGGCCCGAAAATAAGAATTGTCGAGATGTTTACGATGGACCCTAATACCCTTTAAGAGTCAAATTGGGTGGGTGAAATCATCCCATTTGCCTTTAAACGGTCAATTTACCCGCTTACAACTTGCACCGATTTCATAAACTCAAGCCTACCACAAAAATTTATGACAACATTTAATGATCATATATGGTTTCAACCGGCAATATATGACCTTGGGATGTATCCCCTGATATCTCAAAACTTTTCGGCACCGTGTCCCGTAACCTCCAAAATTGCTTCAAAAGCATGGATAAAATAGCCTTCAATTTTGAAAATTTGTTCTTTTAACTGGCCTGAAAATATATCGACATGATGTTTACCATTGACCCTAATACCCTTTAGGAGTCCGATTGGGTAGCTGAAACCATCTCATTTGCCTTTAAACGGTCAATTAACCCGTTTACAACTTACGCCGATTTCATAAACTCAAGTCTACCACGGACATTTATGACAAAATATAATGATCATATATGGTTCTAAACGGCATTATATAACCCTAGTATGTAACCCCTAATATCTCAAAACTTTTCGACACCGGATCCCGAAATCTCTAAAATTGCTCAAAAAAGCATGGATTAGCCTTCAATTTTGGAAATTTTTTACCTTTTCTGGCTCGAAAATAAAAATTGTAGAGATGTTTACCATGAACCCTAATACCCTTTAGCAGTCTAATTGGGTGGGTGAAACCATTCCTTTTGCCTTTAAACGATCAATTTGCCCGCTAACTTACTTGCACCAATTTCATAAACCCAAGCCTACCACAGACATTTATGACAACATATGATAATCATATATGGTTCAAAACGACATTATATGACCCTGGGATGTATCCCGTGATATCTCAAAACTTTTCGACACCGGAACCCGAAACCTCTAAAATTGCGAAAAAAAAAGCATGGATTATAGTATAGACTTCAATTTTGGAAATTTTTTACTTTTTCTGGCTCGAAAATAAAAATTGACGAGATGTGTACCATGAACCCTAATACCTTTTAGGAGTCCAATTGGGTAGCTGAATCCTAGGGTTGAGCAAAATTACCCGAAAAACCGAAAACCTGATCATTTGCCTTTAAACGGTCAATTTACCCGCTTACAACTTGCACAATTTTCATGAACCCAAGCCTACCACAGACTTTTATGACAACATTTAATGATCATCTATGGTTTCAAACGAAATTATATGACCTTAGGATGTATCCCCTAATATCTCAAAACTTTTCAACTCCGGATCACGAAACCTCTAAAATTGCACAAAAAGCATGAATAATAGCCTTTACTTTTGGAAATTTTTTACCTTTTCTAGACCGAAAATAAAAATTGTCGAGATGTTTACCATGGACCCATATACGCTTTAGGAGTCCAATTGGGTGGGTGAAACCATCCCATTTGCCTTTAAACGATCAATTTACCTGTTTACAACTTGCACAAATTTCATAAACTCAAGCCTACCACAGACATTAATGACAACATATAGTGATCATATGTGGTTCCAAACGGCATTATATGACCCTGGGATACATTTCCTAATATCTCAAAACTTTTCAACATCGGATCTCAAAACCTCCAAAATTGCTCAAAAAGCATGGATAATAGCCTTTAATTTTGGAAATTTTTTACCTTTTCCGGCTCGAAAATAAAAATTGTCGAGATGTTTACCATGGACCCTAATACCCTTTAGGAGTCCAATTGGGTGAGTGAAACCATCCTATTTGCCTTTAAACGGTCAATTTACCCGTTTACAACTTGCACCGATTTCATAAACTAAAGCCTATTACGGACATTTATGACAACATATAATGATCATATATGGTTCCAAATGACATTATATGACCCTATAATGTATCCCCTAATATGTCAAAACTTTTTGACACCGGGTCTCGAAACATCAAAAATTGCTCAAAAAGCATGGATAATAACCTTCAATTTTGGAAGTTTTTTACCTTTTGTGGCCCGACAATAAAAATTGTCGATATGTTTAAGATGGACCCTAAACCCTTTAGGAGTCCAATTGGGTGGGTGAAACC